ACTATTCCAGTGCTCTCCACTCAGAATTCTAAGCCCAATTCCTGCTACAATGTGTTGCTAAGGGAGAATATGAAATTCCTTCTGAAGGTCCTTACAAATGGATTAACTTCTGCTTCGGCTCTCTTGACCTACCACCACAAAGCTGATTTTTCTTACACTTCAGCCTTTCTTGACAGACTTAGATTTTGCCTGATTTAAGGGACAAAGGAAAGAAATGGGATTGATTTCCAACTTAACTTCTTGCATATTTACAAGACCAGACTTTCCAAGTCTTGAATCCCAACCAACTGGAAGCACTTTTTCTTCCTTTGTGTTCTTACAGCCTTTCTCTGTATTTCTCTTAGAACTCTAATAATCTGCTTTGTACATTGTCTTTTTTTTACCTCCTAGATGATAAAGTCCTTGTAATTGGAGCTGTTTTATTCATTTTTGTGTGTCCTCTACTTCAAAACTGTTACATTTAATTACGGTAGTTGTCCCCATCTATTTCCCCTTCCCCCAATACATATTAATAGCCAGACTACTCTTCTTTTTTTTTTTCCTTTTTTCTTTTTTTCTTTTTTTCTGATCTCCCTCCCCATAAATATAGATCTATCCTTCTATCCTCACAAATTGAAACTTTGCTCACAGTTTCCGGAAGGCCTCTTCTAATCAAGCAGATTCCGGCCCACTGTTCTCATTTCCATCTCCGTGACTACCAGCACCACTCTTTCACTCTCTCCCTTTTTCTTTGTTGTTGTCCAAGGTATTCTTTTTCCACCCACGATATCCACACCCTCATAGGAAACAAAGAGTGTGCTGTTGGGAAGGAGTTTACAGATGGGCTGTGGAAGGTTTCAGCATCCACTTTTAAAGCTGGCTAGGGAGCCTGTTGTGTGCCTGATCATCATCACCTATCGTTGGATGGATGCTCTTTTCCCTGATTCCTGTTACTCAGTGTAGGAAGGAGACAACTGGCTCTCCTCCCCAGAGTCAGTCACAGTAGGAAGGAGGGAGGATTGGAAGACAGTGGGAGCTTGCATGTGCTGCCTCAGAAATGCCAGACCCAGCAGGAGACATATTCTCATTACTTACAGGTGGTGGCATCCTTCGTTCAGGCCATTATGATTGCTCTTAAAATATTACCTCAAATAAAGAGTATGTATTCTTAGATGAGTGCCTTGTCTCACCTCCCTAATATTCCTACTGAACGAGATAGTCTATTTCTTATTAATAATGGAGATGAAGTCTCTTGTATTTTTTTTTTAGTTTTATTAGGAAACAGAACTAATTTTAAGGAGACTCCAAACCAGGAATGCATCTGTGTCCCTGCTGTGTACATGAGACACTGAACGGAGGGCCAGTGTGAGAGGGACAGAAATGAGAGGAGGAATGGGTGACCACAGAGGGTTACTGAGTGGCCCTGGGTGCCATGTGTTATACTAAGGACAGGGCAGTGTCCTGAAATCATCCCCAATTCCACATAAACTAGGTGAGGGAGGCATGTTCCTATTTTACAGGAAAAGAAACCAAGGCCTGTGGTCACAGAGCTGAGGGTTAAGCCAAGATTCAAACTTGGGCCTGACTCCAAGACTCCTGACCTTGCTTTAGGAAACATCACTGTTAGAGAGGACTTGCACAGTTGCCAAAAGATACACTCTAATCTTCCAGGATTAAAAACCACACAGGTGGGGTGCCTGGGTGGTTCAGTTGTTTAAGCGTCCAACTCTTGATTTTCACTCAGGTCATGATCCCACACTTCATGGGTTCAAGTCCTGCCAGCAGGCTTTATGCTGACAGTGGGGAGCCTGCTTAGGATTCTCTCTCTCCTGCTCTCTCTGCTCCTCCCCTGCTCATTCTCTCTCTCTCTCT